ACCCTGGTTATACATCCCGTAACGATCAGTGATGTGTATATTCCCGAAGAGTGGTTGTCTCACCACCTCCTCCCACCTGGACGGCCTGGCCTTGTCTGGCAGGGGGAGTTGTCGCAACACGCGAAGGGCTCTGATCCAGAAGTTGTCCCCGGCCAAGTCTTGCCTGGCAGCCCCCCTTTCTGTGTTCCTTTGGGATTTAGAGGGGCGAGGAATGGACCAGAAGCGGTCTTCAAGCCAGGTCAGCAGGTGACCTCACGAGGGGTCTGGGAGACCCCATTCTTAACTTGTCTCTGCGCCAACAGAAAATGGGGGGAAGACAAAAAGGTGAGCTCCCAGAGTTGAACTGGGGGCTGAAACCACCACTACCTTTCCCGCTGTTGGGAAAATGGGAAAATATACTAAAATAGCCGACTCCTGAAATTTCAGGGGCTGGGACCGACGGCGGCCACCGTTGATAAATGTCATCGGCGGCCGTCGTTTTGTTTCAGCCTCCGAAACGATCGGGTGACCCACAGTGGGAAAGCGAGGCCCAGGTAGTGCTGATTAACATATAATTTCCAGTGGCATGAGCTTTGTTCTTTTCTTGTTTGGACTTGCCACTGCCATCAGCCCACCCTGGGCAGATTATGATTCCGGCATACGGACAAGAGACTCAAATTAGCATATGCAGGCACACACACACTTCAATTGTGTCTTTTCAAAGAAAACACACATGTCAATGGTATCTTTTCAAACACAACACGCATGTCGATGGTGTCTTTTTTTTTCCAAAGAAAACTGCACTTCCACTGCATGATAACTTTATCATTGAATACACCTCCTACTCACCTGAACCCACATCATCATCCACCGAATAACGTGGGTGTCTGACGTCTGCAGAGTGACATCATGAGAAACTGGGCAGTGCTTTCTGTGAGCTGCGACATCCTGCACCTGCACTGTGTCCATCATTTCATAACTGCTGTGACCATTGAGAGGATACAAACCCCACCCACACTCGATACGTTTTCGCAGATTCCTGAAACTTTGCACAGAGTGGCAATACACACTGAAAGACGCTATACGAGTGGGCTCTCTCACATCAATATACTCTCTCTCTCTCTCTCTCTCTCTCTCTCTCTCTGACTAACCTACATAGATGCCTGGGCCAGCCCTAGCATGGACTGGGTCTTCAAACTCCTTGGATACCTTACATGGTGGCACGGCCAGCCACTAGCATGAATTCATGCTGCAAGCCTGACGGACATTGATCGAGGAAGGAGTCCACTTGCATTCTCTCTCTCTCTCTCTCTCTCTCTCTCTCTCTCTCTCTCTCTCTCTCTCTCTCTCTNCTCTGTCTAGGACTCTCCCTCTCTCTCTCTCTCTCTCTCTCTCTCTCTCTCTCTCTCTCTCTCTCTCTCTCTCTCTCTCTCTCTCTCGAGGAAGGAGTCCACTTGCATTCTCTCTCTCTCTCTCTCTCTCTCTCTCTCTTCCGCCCCCCCCACCCAACCTTCCTCTGTGTCCGCTGTTGCTGCTTCTGCTGGCAAACAACGCAAACAGGGCAAGAGATACAAAAAGGAAAGCAATGACGTGCATGGATTACGTTTGCTGCCACTGTAGAAGAAATTGATGAATTCACAGAGAGAATCGCTCCTGAACAGTTGCTTGTTGCCGACTGTCCACAGCCATGGCTCTCTCGACGAAGCTGTATTTATACAGAGTCCATGAGCCGCTTGATTTCTTCCATATGCCTCTGCAACATCCCGTGCATAACAACAAGAGACAAGGAATGGATCAGCGAGCAGAGAAGCCATGCATGGAAGGGAGAAAGTCATAGAGGATAGAGAGCAAGAGTTGGGTGGGGAGGTGGTGGAGACGGGTGGGAGGTGAGGAAAGAGAGAAACATAGCAAAACAAAGGTGGAAGCGATGGATCCCGAAAAGAGGGGACAACAAGGTCCGCCCAACTCCGCAGAACGTGTTCCAGAAGCTACTGCAAACAAGGCACAATGTTATCTCCCCCCCCTCTCTCGTCCTCTACACCCTTCTAATGCACTTCTCCATAGCCTGGCTTGAGGCGCTTCACCCTCTACCTCCATATCCTAGACCCACACCCTACTCCTACTCCACCATAGCCGTGGAGATCTTCTTCCTCACGCCGGTGACTTGTTTTCTTTTCTTTTCTTTTCCGAGGGGTGCCAGATATTAAAAATAGACGGGTTCCTCTTTTTTTGCCAGGCTCGGTGAACTCGGCGCGGGTACATTCAGAGTCGGCAAAAACACGATCGGAGGTAGTGGTGGTTTTAATTAAATTCCTTTTCCCTCAAACAAAAACCGCCACACACCACTGAGATCCAGATACCAAATATGCCAGCTGAACAACTTCTCGCTCAGAACTGGGTCTTTGGTGCAACGGGGTCACTTACTGCCGTGAATATGATTAAACCGCCACTCCCCCCAACGTCAAAAGACTCAAAAACCTCGGGGGACCGGTCACGCCAGAACTGGGTCTTTGGCACAGCGGGTCACTTACTGCCGTGAATATGATTAAGGTCCTGTGCTGGCATAAGTATTGGAGACTAACGTAGCTGCCCCGTGGCTGATCACGAGTTCAAGTCCTGCTAGCATTTGCTCAGAACTGGGTCTTTGGCACACAAACCACTGCCATGAATACGATTATTAAACCACGGGTACCCCCCGCCCAGCTATTGACGCTGAGCCTAAATTTGCCCTGCACACCGGAAAAAAACGAAGTGGCGCGGGCCTGCTTTTGGCTGGTGCTGCCAGCCATTCCGGTCCAGTACCCGAAAACCTGAAAAATGTGGCCGTACATGGCCACATATTTGTTTATCAAGCGGGGAAAGGCACTGGTGGTCTAAGGTTCTGTGCTGGCATAAGTCTTGGAGGCTGACATACCTTTCTCTGTGGCTGAGTGGTACACGTAACTGTTAACAAACAGATCACGAGTTCAAATCCTGCTGAGCAGCATAACATTAGGGAATGATCCACTCTAATTATGTGGAGGCGCATCGAGAGTAGGCTGACCTAGGAGGTTGGTTGGTTGGGGCATATGTACATGCGCGTCATACCTGAAGCAGAAACTCACTCCTTCCTCGTGGCTGAGCGTTACACATGTAACTGTTAACAAACGGATCACAAGTTCAAATCCTGCTGAGCACCATAGCATTAGGGAATGATGCACTTCTAACATGTGGATGCTAATCAAGAGGAGGCTGACCTAGTAGGCTGGAGGGGGCATATGTGCATGCGCATCATACCTGAAGCAGAATCTCCTTTTGCAGTTTATGTTGTTCTGCTAAAAGCTTCCACTGCAGACCCATCTCATATTCTATCGTGTTTGGCTGTGAACAATGAGATGTTGAAAGAACATCCTTCTGCAGAACCACCACCAACAAACAGTGAAACGAATGAGAGCGACATCGGTCAGGGAAAAACAATAAGTGATTCGCACACAAACTGCATGCAGGACTCTAACCAAAAATTTCACACTCACACCCTTTCCCTGAACTGCCTTCTTTTCTTTTTTCCTCCTTTTCTTCCAGAGAGTGACAGACGAATCCCAACTCAAGGTGGACGAGCTAGCTACCGACGTGACATTCCAGGGTCCCAAAGGAGAGGAGCAGCCCTCACCAGCCGGCCTCCAAAAGCTTGGATCACAGGATGGCGACTCGTCCTCATTCCTACATCTGATTGAAACACATGCATACTTCATTGGAAATCAAGAGACACTTCTTCAGCACAAAGTAGAGATGGGAGGATTGCTAGAACATACCCACCTGGGGGTCGCAGCCACACCCACCAACATGCGACCAGTCCCAGTTCCTACCCGTGGGACAAGTTGGCACTTACCCAGACGTTGGTCGGGGAGAACTCCAAGCCTGGTCAGTCTCTGAAAGCGGTCCCGGTTCCTACTTGGGTGTCCCAGCCACACATACCAACATGCAACCAGTCCCCCCAGTCCTACCTGTGGGACGAGTTGATGCTTACCCAGTGGTTGGTTGGGACAGCTCCAAGCCTGGTCACTCTCTTAACACGGTACCAGTTTGGGTGTCCCTGCCACACCCACCAACATGCAACCAGTCCCAGTTCCTACCCGTGGGACAAGCTGACGCTTACCAGTGGTTGTGTCGGGAGACCTCCAAGCCTGGTCACTCTCTTAAAGCGGTCATTGGCAGCAGAGGAAAGATGTCCGGCGGATGAGATCAATGGAGTAAACTCGGCAGTAGTGTAGGCAGTCATACCTGAGTCGGAGCTCGGTTTCTTATCTTTTTTTTTTAGATTGACAACTTCCTTTTTTTTTCTGTTTTTTTCCTTCTTTCGGGAAGAGATTGACAACTGATATTCTCTCTCTTTTTTTTTTGTGTTGTGTACCTTGTCTTCTTATTTTGGTGTGACCTTGTCCTTCTCGTTTTTTTTTTTCCTTTCTTTTTTTTTAAGGTCCATGTTGTGGTAGAGGGTGGATGCTAGGCCTCGTGAGGTGACTGTCATCGTACTCAACCAGTGAGGGGATCGGATGGCTTGTGATAACCTCCCCCAAGGCCAGTCTTTCCTCCAGGGGGTGTCATTCGTGACCTGTTATATCCTAATCTTTTATCGCAAGTCGAGCCCTACAGCAGTGCGACCCAGCCCTCTCTATCTAGACCTAGACCTAGACCTACACCAACCCGCGCCTTCCGAGGGGTCGTAGACACTTCTCCCCGGGCGCTACCACAGGGACACTCCAAATCTCGAGGACGACCCAGATACAGGAGGCGTCACGGATATACACGGTCATTACCCCCCCTGTATCACATTGTGCAGACTCTATGGGTGGCGAAGCCACCCTTCTACATCAATGCGACAACCCTCCCCCCTCCATGCCTAAGATGACACCCGACCTAGAAGCCCTTCCCCAGACTCACACCCCAGTTGACCCCTCAGTGGGAACTCAGACAGACACCAACCCGGATGAAGCCCAGCCCACGAGCATCGTGAGATCAACCTGAAGCCTGCCTGTGGGAATCGTACGTATATGCTTAACACCCAACCAATACCACTTATGCTTTTTTTTTTTTTTTTTTTTTTTTTTTTTTTTTTTTTTTTTTTTTTTTTTAACACTGCTCTCAGTTTGCTGAGCAGTGAGTTCGTGTTGGTCATGAATTGAGTTCTCGATAGCAAGTTCCTTGCAAATCTTTCAAAACAACAATACTCCAGAACTTTTATTTAGCAAGTCTTAAAAAAAAAATCGGAAGTCATAAAATTATATCTTCTCTCTTTTCTGAGATATGAAGAAAAAAACCTTTGTCATTCCCTATATATAGCACCTGGTTCGCATACAGGGGAAGACGAGTACGCACTCCGGAGCATGCGTACGCGCCTAGGCTACCAGAGTGGTCCGGGACCACTTGCCCGGTCGGGCCAAATATATATATATCGTCAAATAGAACTGCCCGGTAAACCGTAGGCAGAGAGGGAGAAGAGGACAACAAACGAGGGGCTGTGACAAACTGTTTCGTCGGAGTTTCACCGACTCATCAGGAGGCTATATATATATCGTCACAAACAGAACTGCCCGGTAAACCGTAGGCAGAGAGAGAGAAGAGGACAACAAACGAGGGGCTGTGACAAACTGTTTCGTCGGAGTTTCACCGACTCATCAGGAGGCTATATATATATTATATGCAATAACCCATGCAGTATGCCTCGTGGAATGTCTGAGGGCCTTGCCAGGCCGCACTCAGACCCAGGCCGAAGGGGGAAAAGAACCCCACATAAAGTTCAAGGGCTGGACGAGTAACAGTTGACTAAACTCAACTGTTGGACACCCAACAGTCAAATTCAAAGTGTACCCAGCCCAGGCCGCCGGTCAGACGCACACACTTGTTTGTATGCAGGTACCCAGACGACATCAGGACCAAAAGGAAGACTGCAACTGTATGCAATCCAAGCCCTCGGCTGTGAGTCAATCTGGACGACTGTGAGTGGGGGACCTGAGGCCAGACAGCCTCGCCAAATGCTACATAAGGCCTGGTCTCTGGGTGGTCAACATTCAGTCTTGCTATGCTGCCTTGACGCTGGCTGGACGCTAGCAGAGCGCTGGCTGGACGCTGGCTTGACGCTTGCACTACGGCGACGCAGGACTGTGGCAGCATGCTGGCGCTTTCTCTACTGTGCGGCAGGCATTGCTGATGTGGCGCATGCCACTTGTCTAGATTGCTGATGTGGCACATGCCACTTGTCTACATTGTTGATGTGGCACATGCCACTTGTCTACATTGCTACATTGCTGATGTGGCACATGCCACTTGTCTACATTGCTGATGTGGCACATGCCACTTGTCTACATTGCTGATGTGGCGCTGCCGCCTGTCTACACTGATTTGCTGATGTGGCGCTGCTACCTGTCTTCATTGATGATGTGGCGCATACCACCTGTCTCTATAGATGACGTGGAATTGGCCACGCTGTCTACATGAGGTGACTGGTTGCAACAAGGAGGGAGATCGGCATCTGTGGATGATTGGGATCTGGAACTCACCTGAGGTTGACGTCGTTACCGAATACTGCTGTCGTCTTCATGGTCTCCACGAGATAAGAGTGCCACGTGGCACTTCTATGTGATCAGGACTTATCAGACTTGTTACTGTTTATTGATTGATGACGTGGAGGGAGAGGAAGCCCGGAGAAGAAGTGGGAATGGTTGGGATACTTTTGTGTGGTCGTTGATTCTCTCTTCCACCCTCTCCTTTGTCTATCCTCCCTCTACTCTCTTGGTCTAGTGGTAACGAGATACTGTTTCAGATATCACTTCACGTTAACTGGAGACTTTGTGCAGGCTTAAGACTACTTGTACTTCGACGTCTGATGAGTATCTTCCAGACTGGGTTATATATAAAATATATATATTTTTAATTAAATTTGGTAAAAAATTTGGATGTGACCCTGAGGCTAAAGTTGTTGAGTTTTCTGCATAACATAGTTTATGTGTTGAGTTTATTTTTCTGCATAACATAGTTTATAATAAACATTGCTGGGACCTTCCCTGGTCCTTGCACGGGCGGCCGGGCTGGCTGGTAGCCTAGGTACACACTAAAAGAACGGGAGAAAAAAACACAACATTCAGAAAAAATTGAAGAAACTATATGATAATGCCATGCAAAATAATAATACAACACTTTTGCCTGTGATGCATCTCAAAATTCGTAGCCAAACTTGAGTTAAAAACAAAAACTAGAAAAAAATATGAAGAAATCATTACAAAAAAGTATACCTACTCCCAAGTACGGGATTATGTATACGGGAGAACAGACTCGCGTTTAGCAGAAAGTATTCTCATGTACACAAACCCGAGCACAAATTCTCCGTGCTACCCAGGACTCATTCCTTTGCCTTCTCTTGCTTGGTCACCTTTCTACGAGACTCAGGGCATACTCACACTGCGACTTTCCGGGACGTAAACAACCGCTTTTCCGACCCATCCTGGACACATCTGACCGCAAGTACGTCCACAGTGAAGCAGAAAAGGTCCTGCCAGTAGTGTGAGTACATCCTTCATGGACGCTGACAGTACTGCATGCTCACATTTGAGGAATGACCAAAGAAACTTGAGGGCACACTAGAAAAGACATAATAGCTAAAATCCTCACTACAGTGGAAATTAGTAAATTACTAATTACAGGGCACACTGTATTTTGCCACATACGTGGGTTCGGTCCTCCAAGGCCCGTTAGGACTCTCTTCAACCTGCTCATGGCTAGATCACCCGGTTTCGGGTCAAATTGATACAACTAAATAGCTAACATGGCATTAATAATGAAAAAAAGAGAGAAAAAAAAGAGCTTGAGACTGTGAGCTCTATTGCGGGGAGGATGGGGGTTCGAAGTTGTACCTTGTCAGGAAGTAGACCTCGTTTCGCACTCTCCAGATCTGTCTTTCGGAGATGACCGGGGTACCGCATTTTCATGTCCTTTGCTTTCCTGTTCGGTGGTATTCCGAACCGCCCAGTCAAGGGCCTCCAAGAGCTACAAAATGAGACGGCGCAAGGTTCGTGACCAGAAACACAACAAGGAGTGAGGACGGGCAGGAAAAGCTGAGGGAGACACTAAAAAGCAAAAAGAACGGACACAAGAAATCATTCACTCAGTCCTTTGGGACATCCGTTAAAATTGGAAGGATACACAGAAGGGTAATTAGCATGGGCCCTGTCCAAGAATGATATGCATAAATCGAGAAATGGTCCAAATCCAAGGAGCAAGAGCGAAATGACAGAATTCAAAATTGCAACATCACAATGAAAAGCCAGATAATCGTGAACTGTCCAGGAAGCACAAATGCAACAATAACACACCGAAGGAGACCAAAGCAACAAACTCAATTGTCAACGAAAGCCCTCTCTTGCCACCATCAACAATATATCCGATGTCTTTTCTCCGTATCGGCACTACTATCACACAGCTCCTATGCTAGCCTACACTAATGACGACACAACCGGATGACGTCAGCAGCAGAAACCAAGTACGTGCAGATGTCGCCCCATGCAGACCTCCATGACATACAAGGTACGTGCCGTCTCTCTCTCTCTCTCACTCTCTTAGCTCACCCTCGTCTTCTCTCCCATGCTCTTCCTCGCTGAAGAGCTGACAATATATAAAAATAAAATGAAAAAAATCATTTTTTTTTAATTTTATATGTTCTATTGGAGAGTCAAAATATATTGATTTAGATCATTACAAACAAATAAAATATATAAATGTATCAGTCTACTCTTGTTTTTTTTTTGCTATCCTATTCTTGTATCAATTACTTTACGAAACCTAACAAGTCAATAATATGATAACACATATCAACATTTATCTTGAATTACTACGACCTTCTTATTTTATGTTATACTCAAGAAGATGTACATCATTTATAATTTCCATTTGCTTATTCTTGACAGTAATGGCTATTTACCACCACCTTCCTGCGGCCCTTGTCTGGCTATGGCTGGAGACTAGCGCTGCCTCCAGCAGTGCCCACCTTCTCTCAAGCGCCCGCACGCCCAGGTCTCCCAGCCAGCCGCCTCGAGCGCTCTATCCAGCAGCACTGCCACCCAACATGCGAGAGCCCGAATGCCTTCAAGCAGGCCGGCACTTCCCTATACGGGAAGTGGCGTGGCTCGATGGCTGCCTGGACTGGAAGGCTCGTGTGCCCAGTAGCTTCATGTTGGCCTGGGACCGAAACAGTTCGGAGTGCCCAACTGCCAGACGTGGTTTGAGTTGCTCTCTGTGACATTATAGGCCGAAAGGCCTGCTTCCACCTAGAGCCTGGATAAGCCTAGAAAGCTCGAGAAGTCACGGTTGCTTGCAGACAGGTTCCATGCAACAAACTTGCGCGTGGTAACTGTCTGACGCCCACGAGGGCTTCAAAGTTCAAACTGACAAAATTTAGGCCGCAGTGTGACGCGCAGGCCCGCCTTCATTTAGGGCGGGCACAAGGCTTGCAGTCGGGCCCCATAAAGGCCTGCAAGGACAGAGATCCTCGCACACACACACACACAAAAAA